GCACGCCGCGGATCGCGGCCCGTGGCCAGTTCCTGGTCGTGACTTCGGACTTCGGGCGGCGGTACAAATGCATCATGCAGTACCGGTGAGCACGGCCAGCACTGGGCAGCCGGCCACATACAGGGGTCGCTAATAGCCGAGAAAGCAAATACGACCAGGGGCTTGCCTGAAAAAAACACCTTCGTCTGTCGGAGAGTTTGCTACTCTAGCTCTGTAATGTACTTCTCTAGTTACACAGTTGCTCGCCACACTACCCCCCTCCACCCATGCAGCAAGAGCTACCGCATGGAGGACTGGCTGCACTTCATCGAGACATCCTCCAGCTACATCTTCAAGGGGGACGTGCTGCCCGAGGCCTGTGGTGGAGCCTGTGCAGCACGGTCACACACTACTTCCGGCCACGGCCCCCCGACAAGACCCGTGAGCAGTTCCTGGTGGCAGCCAAGGCGGCTGCATGCAAGCTCAGAGCTTACGTGACCAGGCTGGAGGAGTTGGAGGTGCCGGGCTACATGTTCACGGTCAACCTGCACATCTGCATATGCCGGCTGTACGACCAGGAGTGCCAGCTTGGGTCCACGGCAGGGTTCTCCGACCTGCCGGTGGAATGCATGATGCAGCAAATGAAGACGCAAGGCGGAAGGATGGTGTCACAGGCACCCGAGAAGCACTACATGCAGTGGCTGTGCCTGATATGGGCCTCCGAGTCGCTCACCGAGGCAGACCCCGCGACCGGGGCCAAATGCACGACCAACCAGCAGCTTGAGAGGATGTTGGCATGGCGCGCGGTGAACACCGAGGCTGCCTGGTTTGACAAACCAGGAGCCAACGGTTACCTGCTTGGATGAGGCCACACAGTCTACCCGAGTCCGGAATGAGCGGCACAAGTCCGGGCAGCCATGGCGAGCCTAGTGCACTGGTACACCCTGGCATTCGAGGATGTGGCTTCCTGGACATTGGGTCCCAGTGCAAGCTACGAACTGGACACGGACCGCCTGGATAGGGTTCTCACATCTACACCACCCGACTGTCCTAAGTCCCACTCCTTTTTGCATGCCGAGGCACTCGACGAGGAGCAGTACTTCAGGGCTGAGTACGGGCGCCAGCAGCAGCGGACCTCCTGCTGGGCATGCTACCAGGCAGAAGTCGGCAACGAGACTAGGACGTATGTGGCCTACCTCAAGTACTTCGTCCACCTGCCCACGGAAGACGGTGCTCAGGATGTCCACTTCACTGTCGCAGATGTGTACTCAGGACAGGTGTTCAGCGGAGGGCTGGTGGTGGTCAACATGGCGGCCGCCCAGACAGTGAGGGCAGGCAGCCAGTGGGAGATGTGGCAGGACCTAGGGCTGCCGCTAAGCAAGCTGAAGGGCAAGTTCTGCACAGCCACCCTGGAGGGGGACCAAAAGGGGCTGATGTACTTCATGCCGTACACACACTTCACCAACCGCTGAGCAACCGCAGCAACGAGGAGGACATATGCCAGGCTAGAGCCGAAGGGTCATCCACGGCTGGCAGACAAGCGGAAAGGGACATCCGGTCCGAATCCAGGGGCCCAGTCGGGCAACAAGTGGATTGGCGAGCCTTGGGGAAAGACGTCGGCTGCAAAACATGGAGACAAGGCCACGTCACTCAGAGGCACGTTCGAGCCCAATGCGGCCTCAGACCCAGGAGCGATAGTGGCATTACGAATCGAAGAATTTTGGGCTCCGAGGATGGCCGTCAACTTTGGTGGGGCGGCGCAAAGAACTTATGGTGATCGGTTTGGTGGACGCACTGGAACAGTTGGTTCTAGCGAGTAGGGCAGGATCTCTGCGATGGATGCACAAATCGCTGGAGGTGAGGCTACGATGTGGACTGACACCCCTTATCGAAGAGATAGCAGACCAACTGGCGGCAGCCTTCCGAACAGCAGCAGGAACCTATCAGGGTGTGAGTCCAGTTTTGGGGGGAAAGTGTCCAGTTCCCCAATTGATGACTACCACGTGTCAGAGGAGCAATGCGGGGCCAACTTAGGTGACTTATAACGGGTGCGCGGGTGCGCCACCCGGGGGTGGTCGGGGGGACGTGGAGACGAGAGTGAGAGAGTTGGAGCTACGAAATGGGGAGAGTTTACGGTGGGAGCAGGAGTAAGGCGAGGCAGAGAGGGGGGCGCGCGGAGCGCGGGTGGCCGGGGTGTTTTAGGTTGGCAGGGGGATGGAGGGTGGGACGCCGTGCGTGGTGTGTGGGGCTCGCTTAGGCTGAGAGCGTTACAAAGGTTGTAAGTGAGCCCTTCGTATCATACGGATGCTCGCCCCAACTAATCCGGCCCTTACAGTGGCGGGCTCTTTGACTTCAGAAATGCTAGATTTGGGGTCTAACTTCGAGGCGGTGTTACGCCATTTTTCAGTTAGTATTGTGTCGTTGGTATAGCCTGCGAAGGTACCTTGCTGGAGACGCTTATAAAGGCCTTTGTTCAGGTCACTAACGTAAAGACCAGTGTCGCGTTGTTTCAGCCAGAACACTTTATCGAACGGGGCATTGTCGGCCTTTTCAGTAAATGTTGCTGGGTTCTCACCTCGTGCGACAGATGTTGCTCCTTTGTCAGCTTTGTCATTACCATCAAGGCCTGTGTGCGATTTCACTTTCAGGAAGTGAACGGTTATGTTCTGTTGGGCGCATTCGTACAGTAGGTCGGCGATGTCCATTAGTAAGGCTTTGTGCTTGGAAATATGCAGTTTACTCGGATCGTTTACTGCTCTTTTGATAAGATCCAGTGAGGCTTGCGAGTCAGTGGCAATTGTTAAGGTGATGTTCACCGCCCTTTGGGTTGATAGAGCTACACGTATTGCTGCCAGCTCTGCCCATTGAATGGTATTTGTACATCCTTCGCCCACTGGGTCGATGTGCAGCGTTTTTCCGGTGGGTCCACAGTATGCAGCCGCACCCAACTTGTTCTGGCCGTCGTTTTCAGCCGATTTAATACAGCTACCGTCGATCCAGATGATAGTGTGCGGGTCCATCCTGAGTGGTACTTGTCCGGGAAAAGCTGCTGTCAGGCGCTGCTGGAGCATCTGTCCGTCCGAGTG